ATTATTTCTTAATCCTATTAATGTAAGTAAACTAAAATAAAGAAACTAAAAAAATCATAATCTTAAAGGAATTAGAAATCCTATTCTAGTTAATATTAGAAAAGATAAAACTTATTACAACTAGACATCTTATTATAAATATATAATCCTAATCCTATTTACAATAGGACTACATCATAACTACCGTCAGACATTGCAGTTGTAGGTTTAAAACACCATATTTTGGTGAAAATGCGGGGTTTTGATACCTTTATTGATTCATTGACAATCATTATGGAGATCTGAATTTTTACTTATTTAGGCAGACTAGTTTAAACCATCCAAAGTTCTGGTGGAAAAACTGAATTTTTCGTGTTAGTGCTTATATGCCTTAGAAGTTTAAAAGCTAATATTAAATCTCTTGAAGTACATGTTTTCTGCTATAACCTCTCTATTATTATTTGTCGTTGTTTCCAAGAAAACTCGTTCACTAGATTTGGCGTGAACCCGTGCTTCTTTTTCTGTCAATATTATGTGAAATCCTCGTGTTAGAAGTTTATTCAGAGTTTATGCTGCTGAATTCTGATGTTTTACTATGTTTACGTTTTTGTTTGATTGATATCAACTAATGTTCCATATGTCTAAATCGCATCATCTTTACTGCTAATTCTTTATTTCCTCGTTTATCTTTAATCGGGAAAAAAAAACTTTCTTGGGTCTTATAAATCAATGAATTTACATGTTTCATCTTATCTTTATAACTATGTGAAAAAAGAGGAAGAAACAAACTTTATGAAGCGAATGAGTTGAATAGTAGATATATTTCTTGTCATGTGTCTATTATTTCCAGTATCGACTCTTAAAATCTGTTATTTTACTGAATTTTCATTTATCTGTTGGTTCACAGCATCATTCAAAAGTTGAGACTGTCACAGAGAATGAAAATTCTTTTCCTGAGACTAAGACTATTCCCGCGGAAAATGGCTACATTTCAGAAACTCAGGATAAAGATGTTGTGTCTGAAGGTCTTGGTGTAGTTAGTGTATATGACCAGTGGGTTGCACCCCCTGTATCCGGCACTCGTCCAAAAGGCCGTTATGAGGTATTGGTATTTTTCTTATTTCTCAACATATTAGTTTTTGTATGCTCTATTTAGTTTGTTAACAAAGCCTGAATATATCCACAGCATGGAGCTGCAGTTATAGATGATAAGATGTATGTATTTGGCGGAAACCACAATGGACGCTACTTAAACGATCTCCAGGTATTGGAATTACGATACTAATACTCAGATGTCATATATGCATGCCACAGCATTTTAGTCTGGAGAATACCACAGATCAGACAATTTAGGCTTCCACTTGTCTGATATATTCAACATATCAAGAACTCTTTTAGTATTGTGCATCAGCCATTTGGGCTGTAACTTTAAATGGTATAGAAAATTTGAGAATACTTTTATTCCATGTGTCATGTCTTTGGAATTCCAGTTACATTACCTACACCGACTTGTGGGGAGGTCTTTACATTCTTTAAATTAGTCTCTCTTTGCTTTAAACTTGCTGAAGACATCAGTTCTGTGATATTCTTAATTTGAGGAACATTGCAGGTTCTGGACTTGAGAAGTTGGATGTGGTCTAAAGTTGAAGTTCAAGCAGGAACTGAAGGTGCAATAACTCCATGTGCTGGCCATTCCTTGGTTAGTTTGAAAATTGTTTGTTTAGGTTATCCAATGAAAAGCACAGTTATAGCAGCTAACGACTTGTACATTATAATTACACGACCCATCATCTCATGAAAATTCTGTACTGGATACTTTGTTCCTATCATGTTATTTGCAACATATTTTTCCTTGTAGATACCATGGGACGGGAATAAGCTTCTTTCAATAGCTGGACATACAAAGGATCCTTCTGAAACTTTACAAGGTTGATATTGTGCCTCGTTTGATTTCGCAACAAATTTCTTCTTTTTTTTGTTGGGGTTCAACCTTTTGTTAAATATTCTTTCGAATAGGATGTATTGCTGTAGTGTAAAAAATTGACTGTGTTTTAGCCATGCTATCATTCTAAGCCCCTCTGTCTGGGGGGGATTTTGAAGAAATTTTTAGTGAATTTTTGCCTGTTATACAGTACATGCAGCTGCAATTATTGACAAATATCAAGTGGAATGACCAACGTGCCTCTTTAACATTTAACTCATTCTTCTTGAGAAAAGGGCATTTATGGTTTTCGTTTTCTGTTGAGTCAAAAATTACGGCTCAAATGTGGACCACCACTGGTCCAACAGTCAAAAAATGGATTATAATCTCTCCAAAAATCGCATCCAGACCATGGTCCTTGTGTGGTCATTTTTAACGTAAACAAATATATAATCTGAAATGGTAAGTATCTAATTTTATTATTTTGATGTGAAAATCAATTTGCACAAGTTTTGAAATTTGCTCGATACTATTGCTCTCTCTTTTGCAAAGCTGAAAGCATAAAGTTATTATTGATCTGAAATTTCTTTCTGCAGTTTTTCCCCACAGAATGATTAATTTAATGGATTTTACTTAATTACCTTCCAGACAAGTCTGGCTGGTCTGAGTTTAGTTTTGCTTCTCAATACCTAACTAATTTATTATGACAGTGAAGGTGTTTGATCTGCAAACTCGTACCTGGTCAACCTTGAAGACTTATGGAAAGCCACCGGTAACAATCTGTTATCCCCAATGATCTTTAGAATTCATTGTAATGGTTTCAAGTTCCAACTCACTGTCTGTGTATCTGTTAAGGAAGTAAGCGTTTTCTTCATCTCATTTTAATTAGCAAAAGCTACTTCCATGGCAAACTATCCAAGCTAATCAGATTAAAAATCTGAAAAGCTAGCATTCTTTGTTATTTGGATGTTAGATTCTAGTCCAGATCTTTTAGTCACTCCTCTTGTCAATTTACCAGAGCTGTTACTAGTCAATCATGTTAGCTGTTACTAGTCAATCATGTTTATTCATTTTATCTTTTGAAAATAATTTTAATTAGATATGTTTTGACATGCTTTTGCTTAATGAGAAAATTCTACGATTTTATTACCATCAAATATGTCTAATGGTTATTCTTTTTAGGTTTCTCGTGGAGGGCAGTCAGTGACCACTGTGGGCTCAACCCTAGTCATATTTGGTGGACAAGATGCAAAGAGATCCCTTTTGAATGATTTGCATATTTTGGACTTGGAAACCATGACGTGGGACGAAATGGACACACTGTAAGTTATTTTTTGTTTTCCATGGGAATTATAGAATCAGGCTATAACACCCAAATTTTCATAAAGATTAGGGTGTTACCAAAAACTCTCTTTTCTTTACATTAATTACGGAACGATAAAAAAATAATTTATTTAATAAAAATATGGGTTATCCATGAACTTAAACTAAACATTAAAGTTTTATGGTTCAAAAATAAATGTACTCAAATGCTATTTAAATAAACATGTCATTGAACATAAATGAAGCTAATTAATCAATTAAAGATAGAAAAATCTAGTTATTTTATTTATTTAAATCCTTTTGGCAGTCCACATCACCATCCTGCCGTAGTTCCAATCGATCCAAACTAACCTGTAAATTTTGTTGTAAGAGCAAGTATTCAAAAATACCCAATAAGATACGTGCAATTTTCATATACAATTATATAATAATAAAATAGACACTTCATACCTCTCTTCTTTTATGGAGTATATCGGTGATCAACCGACATACCCATATTAGGTCATCTTAAATTTTTGAAGGATTTTATCTCTTAATAAAGAACTCGAAGGTCCGCTAACAATTCATGCATAAATTACTGAATATAAAAGCATAAGAAAACGAATAACTTGCATAAAAGTATCTTACCTTAATAGATTTGAAAAGTTGTGAGGAATGTAAAATAATGCACGTGAAAACCCTTTTTCTATGTTTCTTTCTCTCTGCCTTGACTCTCTCTGATCGTGTCTATGTATACATATTCTATGGTGAAAATTCCTCTTGACTTTATGGGGGTATATATAGGACAAAAAAAAGGTAACAATTGAATTGTGGTGCAAAAGGACTTGAGGAGCCGTGTCCCACAAGAAAATAGGATAAGAATGACTTTATAAAATTTTATCTCATCTTATAAAGTCTTTAGTAGGTGAAAAATAATTTTTTAAAAATAAATAAATACTTAGACACATGCAGTAGCTGGGAGATGGGAAAATGCCTAATAATTTTATATGATAAATCTTAGATTAGTTTAATTAGGATTTTGCTTAATTAGAAGTATCCTAAGTACAATAGTCAAACATATTTACTCATACAAATATGACCAAAATTAGAAGGAATACATACTTAATAAAAGAAAATACTAAAATTTTAATTCAATTTGGATAACAATAAGTGAAGTTTGAAACATATCAAAATAGGATTATAATGATAATTAAATTGGTATTAACAATTAACCATTACCATAATTAGAATAGGATTTTCATATGTCGCAGCATATGGTTTGGGTGATGCCGAGGCGTATGGAGGACATGTTAAAGACTTGGAGGAGAAAGTTGCGAGATAAGGATAGCAAAGTTGTATGGGATTAGAAAAATCTAGTTATTTTATTTAAATTCTTTTGGCAGTCCATATCACCATCCTGCCATAGTTCCAATCGATCCGAACTAACTTGTAACTTTTGTTGTAAGAGCGAGTATTCAAAAATACTCAATAAGATACGCGCAATTTTCATATACAATTATATAATAATAAAATAGACACTTCATACCAATTTTCTTTTATGAAGTATATCGGTGATCAACCGACATACCCATATTAGGTCATCTTAAATTTTCGAAGGATTTTATCTCTTAATAAAGAACTCGAAGGTCCACTGACAATTCATGCATAAATTACTGAATATAAAAGCATAAGAAAACGAATAACTTACATAAAAGTATCTTACCTTAATAGATTTGAAAAGTTGTGAGGAACGTAAAATAATGCACGTGAAAACCCTTTTCCTATGTTTCTTTCTCTCTGCCTTGACTCTCTCTGATCGTGTCTATGTATACATATTCTATGGTGAAAATTCCTCGACTTTATGGGGTATTTATAGGACAAAAAAAGGTAACAATTGAATTGTGGTGCAAAAGGACTTGAGGAGCCGTGTCCCACAAGAAAATAGGATAAGAATGACTTTATAAAATTTTATCTCATCTTGTAAAGTCTGTAGTAGGTGAAAAATAATTTTTTAAAAATAAATACTTAGACACATGCAGTAGTTGGGAGATGGGAAAATGCCTAATAATTTATATGATAAATCTTAGATTAGTTTAATTAAGATTTTGCTTAATTAGAAGTATCCTAAGTACAATAGTCAAACATATTTACTCATAAAAATATGACCAAAATTAGAAGGAATACATACTTAATAAAAGAAAATACTAAAATTTTAATTCAATTTGGATAACAATAAGTGAAGTTTGAAATATATCAAAATAGGATTATAATTATAATTAAATTGGCATTAACAATTAACCATTACCATAATTAGAATAGGATTTTCATATATCCATGTCAAATCCTAACCCAACAATTTTTATTTATTTATTTTTACCTTATATCTATATAAAGGTACACGTGGATGCCAACCCTTTAACAATCAAATTAACTATATTCTAATAAATGACAATTTTTTAAAACTTCAATATCCTAGGTCTAACTTATCTGAATTAATTTTTTCTCGAGTCCATAGTGCTTCATTTAATAAGAACTATCCAACGAGCCCAATATCGATATACTAATTCAAGCTCTATCAATATTTAACTATTTGACGCACGAAAGTAAAAAAAATTAATACCTATTTCGCTTTAGTCCCTTAACTTTCCAAAATAATAAAAATGCATCTTGATCAAAATTGTTATCTCCAAAATAATTCCATTCCATAAAATTTTGGGGCGTTACACAGGCTCTAGCGTTGCAGCTTTTATTTTGAAGCCATTGAGCTACTTGTATTCAGGGGAATTTTGTGTTTCTGCTCTACCAATCAAATGTGTTTAAGGTTGTGAACAGCATGCTGATTTTGGTGCTCATATAATGGTTTTCATTCTTACCATCCATGCTTGTTAGTCTTGGAAAACCATTATGGCACATCAAATGATCAAATCAACATTTTGACTCTTCCCTCTCATTTGATCGAGGAGAATTTAGCTTGTGTCGCGTTCTTTTACTTGATAAGGTCATTTATGTATTAATTGTGGTCATGTCTGTAATTTTCAGGGGAGTGCCTCCTTCTCCAAGGTCTGATCATGCTGCTGCAGTACATGCAGAACGTTACCTTCTTATCTTTGGCGGGGGTTCACATGCAACCTGCTTCAATGATCTTCACGTTCTTGATCTGCAAACCGTGAGATTAAAATTTCATTCCATTAGTTGCTTGCCTTTTAAGTTCTAACTTCTCATTACTCAAAATACATAAATTTCAACGCGTTTCTATCATGTTTTGATTACATAGATGGAATGGTCCAGGCCCACTCAACAGGGTGAGATACCAAGTCCTCGTGCTGGTCACGCCGGTGTCACAGTTGGAGAGAATTGGTTCCTTGTCGGTGGTGGTGACAATAAGAGCGGTATGGATTTGATACCTTATTTAGTTGTCAACTTAGAGGATGATTGCTGACCATCATTTTATGTCTAGACTTCTTGGTTTATGCCCTTTACGTGAGCCTTTGTATGTACTATCTCTCAGCACTCGACTTTCGTGAATACTAAGAATCAACTCACAGTGCGTGCATATTTATAACATCCTTGTTAGTGTCAACTTCTATGCAGCATTAATTCTTCTGTATTAATTGTTGTGGTTATGATATAAACTTAATACAAATGAACAAGATCTTGAAATATAGTTTTGCTTTGATAACTATGGTTCTTTTGAGAACCATGCCTTTGAACTATTGCACAATGGATCTGCAGTCTTAGTCTTGTTTGTAGCTTCTATATAATAAAAGTAGCTTACAAAAAGAAGATTCAATCCCAGATCATGTCCAACTGTGAAATAACGATGATGAGATTTTAGGATACAGTAGGTGGTTCAAACTCATGTTTTGTTGCTTATTACAATGGGCCTATGTCAATGCGTGCTTTGTGTTAATTTTTTATTTTTAAAAGACAACAGGACCAGGAGTGCAATGCCAAAATATTCTGGTCTGAAAGAGAAAAACTTCAAACTTAGGTATGGAAAGAAAGGAAAAGAGGAGTATTGTGCTAGAGTAACCTCACCTCCAATTACCTCTTGACATTTCCTAGTGTGTTCCATTTTGAATTCTGGTCCCCCCCATAAAATTACTGCTAAGAGGATTTGTAATACCCAGACAAGGAAAGGTTAAAAGATTTGATAGGTACTACTCATATCAACAAGGTGTTCCTTCTTTTCCGGAAGTCCATCGTTAAAAACTCTACAGTTAAGCGTGTTTGGCTTGGAGCAATTCTATGATGGGTGACCTTCGGGAAGCTCTCTCAGGGAGCGTGTGAGTGAGGATAAAACATGCTGAAAAGACCTATGTTGGTACAGTGGGGACAGTACGTCGTCGATCTAACTGCCGGGACAGCCCGTTAAGTGGGACCCGGGTCATTACAAATGGTATCAGAGCTCGATTGCCAGCCGAAAATCGGGAACTAAGTGCTATGCGGGACAAAGTGTCACGTCAAGGGCGGGAGCCACCTCTTGAACCCGTAGGAGCTACCTCTAGAATCCCGACGCTTGGCAACGAATCCTCAGATGGATCAAGCGCGACGAGGACGTCGCGAGTCAAACGGGGGGTGATTGTAATACCCAGACAAGTAAATGTTAAAAGATTTGATAGGTACTACTCATATCAACAAGGTGCACCTTCTTTTCCGGAAGTCAATCGTTAGAAACTCTATAGTTAAGCGTGCTTGACTTGGAGCAATTCTATGATGGGTGACCCCCTGGGAAGCTTTCTCAGGGAGCGTGCGAGTGAGGACAAAGCATGCTGAAAAGACCTATGTTGGTACAGTGGGGACAGTACGTTGTCGATCTAACGGCCGGAACAGCCCGTTAAGTGGGACCCGGGTCGTTATAGGATTGGCATTGGGCAACAATGAGATTGCTTCATTCTTGGTTCTAAGTTGCAGAAGCAACCTTCTTACTTCCAGGGGTGAGTTGCATTTGTTCCTGGATTCTGCAGAGTCAGGAACCTTCTCACTAGGGAATGTATTCCCTATTAGCAAATTCTCCATGTGTTATTCTTGAAGGCATGCTGATGCAGGATGGATTGAGATTTCACCATAGAATTAATAAACAACATAAGATAAAGAAGAAAAGGGGAAGAAGAAGTAGAAGAAGAAGCGAGAAAAGAATAAGGGGAAAAAAAAAACGTTGGTTGCAATCAATCTTAATTTTATTAATTCATCAACTGTCCCAATTACAACAAAAAATCCAATAAATAGTAAAAACCGTTACCTACTAGTGAAGGGCTTGGGCCAACCCAATAATATAAGCACAATAATAGAAATCTACGACAAGTCCAATAATTGAAAAATAAAAATAAAAATCAAGAATAAAATAAATCTCGATGGATGTCCGCATCAACTCTACCGGGGTAGGAGAAAAACTCGACCATGTCGAGTGGATAAATCATAAGAGTCTGCAATCAATTTCTCAGTCATCAGCAAAAGTAATTGAACTCATGCCACGGGGACGATCTTTCTGAAGAACCAAATGTCGAAATTCTATTATTGATAGTAACGACAACTACAGCTTATTCCCAAGAATGTGATTCGACCAAGGGGGACGATCTTTCCATCTAATCAAGTACCAATACTGGACTCTAGATAACAAACACTCGTGCAAATTTTCATTTGTTTGTGCATAATGAGGAGCATAAGAAGCTAGCATCGGAGATTGGCCTGTAGAGAAAAATGATTGCAACATCGAATGCTCAACTGGACCCCGATTAGTAAACAATTCTTCTGTATTGAAAATATAAGTTTCATTTAAGTGAAATGGCCAATCAAATCGAAAATCTGTGTGAATGACCCAAAAACTTTTTCTTCACGTTTTTAGGAAAACGGATAAGAGAAATGCGCAATAAAGTATAGTAATTTTCAATAGAGTGTCCTAACGTATATTGCACCTCAAAAGTAACCTCAAAAAGTTAATGATTGAAAATGATTTGACCTCTTAATTTGGCATGAAATATAAGAACATTATCAACATGATGATGAGCTAACAAAGCATGTCGATAATTAATGGACAACATCCAAATGTCGATAGGAAGAGTGTGCAATCGAGTAATGATCTTAGAAAACAATGTGGCAACCTGTGAAATCTCATGTAATTGAGGGAAAACTAAAACAAATTCAACATGAAAGTCATGTAACATAGTTGTATTGAAAATATAACTTTCATTTAAGTGAAATGGCGAATCAAATCGAAAATCTGTGTGAATGATCCAAAAACTTTTTCTTCACGTTTTTAGGAAAACGGATAAGAGAAATGCGCAATAAAGCATAGTAATTTTCAATAGAGTGTCCTAATATATATTGCACCTCGAAAGTAAGCTTAAAAAGTTCATGATTGAAAATGATTTGACCTCTTAATTTGGCATGAAATTTAAGAACATTGTCAACATGATGATGAGCTAACAAAGCATGTCGATAATTAATGGACAACATCCAAATGCCGATAGGAAGAGTGTGCAATCGAGTAATGATCTTAGAAAACAATGTGGCAACCTGTGAAATCTCATGTAATTGAGGGAAAACTAAAACAAATTCAACATGAAAGTCATGTAACATAGTAGGCACGATATCTAGGATATTTGAAATGCCTCACTTTGATGACATTGTTTTAGGTAATTTCTCAATTATGTCAATATTAAGTTTATCGGTTATAGATGTGGTCACAATAGGGGACACAATACACTGTTCACAACTCTCAACTTCTGTGAAAATGGAGGAAAGAATTGCACTATAATCATTTAAACAAACCCCTAAAGATTTTATAGCTCGTGACAAATAAGGTTTGATCGTGTCAGCACACTTCTCAAAAAGTCTTTCCACCACACTAAATATAATAGGAGAACCCTCATTGTGTTTATTTTGGACACTATCCAAAAGAAAGGTAATCAAATCTTGAGGAATATCGTTACTTTCTTCCCATGTAAAGGTCATGATAGTCTCTATGGATGTGAAGACATTCCCTAAATGATTTCCGTTTAAAGCTACAAGAAAGTGTTAGAATGTGTCAATTATCATACTTTCACAATCTAGGTCCAACACGATAAGGAAATACTTCACATTAGCTATAGTATCTAGAGGGTGTTTGATGGGGATTAAAATTAAATTTTTAGTAAATTATGATAAAAGTTTTTGAAATGTGTGGTTGAAAAGTTGTGGGTCCCATGAAAGATGTGGTTAATATTGATTGTTTGATTTTGACTTGATTAAAATCAGATTTTAATCCGGATCAAACAGAGGCCTAGTATCCTAACTACTGTAGCATACAAATTGATGGATGTGCTCGTGAGAAATGCAAATGATGATATAATCGAGGGAAATATATCTTTCATTATTTCATCATAGAAAGGGGGATCGGGTGATGTAATGTGGAATATTTCACCAAGGCAAGAAACAACTGCTACTTGTATAGCAAAATCACGATGTCTTAATAACTTATTTGAGACCAATGTTTCTCTAAGTGTATTAATAGATGTGCATGGAAACAGCGGCAATTGGTCTACTTGTGAAAGCAAATATTCAGTGTATTCAAGTAATGATAGGAGTTCATTAAAAGACAATGAAGATTGAAGAAGTTTCCTTCCATTTGTTAACAAGTGGACTCCTAACGTTTGGTATTTATGCCATAACATTTTTTTTTAACTTTAAAATTGACAAGCCAAAACACTAAAATATAAGTACATGTTCAATATAATAAAATTGTTACCTACTTACCTCACGAGACTCAAAAGAATCCAACAATGCCCCAATCACAATTTTCCATTTGGCATTGCTATGGTGGCAAAGCGGCAACTGAATCGTTTAAGCAGCCGTCAAACAACAAGAATAAAATTCACTGCAATTAATGTCATAAAATTCTGTCTTTTTTTTATTTAACTAAAACAAATTACACTTTTGAAAAGCAGGGGCCCAAAACCGGGCCCAAATCGAGGCCCAATCACCAAACAATTACCAAAACTTTTATAGGAAAAGCAGGGACCCAAATCGAGGCCCAATTACCAAATACATTACCCTAAATCAATTTCACCAAGCCAAATCGAAGCTCATGAGCGGGGTGTCACGAGCGGTTGTCGGAGAGAGAGCGATTGGAGACTAGTTGTGCAGCGCTAGCGAGAGAGAGTGAGAGGCTGCGAACGGGTAAGGCGATGGTCGGGAGGCACAGTGACGGTTGATGTTGTGGGATTTGAAGAAATCCTTAAAATTTGATGTGGGCTGTGTGATGTGGAATTTATGGGCTGAGTAGTGCGTTGGGTTGATTGTTGGTTGGTTGCGTGGGGTTGGAGAGGTGGAGGCAGCGGGTGATTGTTTTTGTTTTTTATTGATTGTACGTTGGTGTTGCAGCGAACAGTTTTGGCGAAGGTGGGTGATGCTGGGTGGAGGTCTGTTTGTGGGGCTTTGGCGGACCTTGCCCAAGAGGGCGGGTGGGTGATGTTATGGCGTATTAGGTGGACGCCAATGTGGCTGTGGCGATGGAGTTTCTGCTTTGGTTGTGGGTTGCAGTTTGACTTGTTTTGGAATCAATTGAGTGGGCGGCGTAATGGGAAATTTGTGGTTTGTGATGGGGAATAGATGGAACTGTGGAATTGATTGTTTCTCAATTACGGTGGCTGTGAAGAACTCCCAAATTTAGCTCTCATACCAAATTTGATGCAGGATGGATTGAGATTTCACCATAGAATTAATAACCTACATAAGATAAAGCGGAAGAAGAAGAAGAAAAGAATAAGGGGAAAAAGAGAAACGTTAGTTGCAACCAATCTTAATTTTATCAATTCATCAACTGTCCCAATTAAAGTGAAAAATCCAATAAATAGTAAAACCTAACCCTACTAGTGAAGGGATTTGGCCAACCCAATAACATAAGCCTAATAATGGAAGCATAAATAATAAAAATCTACGATAAGTCTAATAATAGAAAATATAAATAAAAATCAATAAATAAATTTCGAGGGATGTTCGCATCACATGCCCACTTCTTTCTTTTATTTGCCCTCGTTTTCATTTTTCTTATTTTTTCAGTCTTCTTCTTGATTTATTCTTGTATTTAAGTCATATTCATTTATAAAAGGTTGCTCTAGCTTTTCTTCCGAAGGTGTTGGTTCTCAGATGTCCATTAATGTAAAAACTTGTTATTGAAGAATTCATTTTACTTCGAGAATTTTATCTGTCAATACCGTTCCAAATTGGCTGTTGTTAGAGCGATTATCAGTTATTGGCTGTTAATTCATTAATAAACCTACTTTTTGCAATATTTGAGAAAATACAGAGTTATCTAGATCCATTGTTGCTCCTAAATCATGTGTTCTACTTGTGAGATCTTCCACGTTCCTTATTTTTCTCTAACTCTTTTGTAGGTGTCTCTGAAAATGTTGTCCTTAACATGTCCACACTGGTCTGGTCAGTTGTAACTACAGTTCAAGGACACATTCCTCTTGCTAGTGAGGTATTTGACATCTAGTAAAATTAATCAGTGACAATAATTACTGCTCAATCTTATATGTACATAATATGTTATTGATCTAATTGTGTATCATAGTCAGATGTAGTTATATGATTAGATTGTTGATAGATGCTCCATCACGGTGTTGCAAGATGGGGATTATGTAAGAACAATAGAAGTCTTGTCCTAAGTGATCCCAGAGAGTTTCAACCTATCTGCCATTGATAGAGGATGAACTTGGAGTAGGGTGATAATAATAAGCATATGATAAAATCTGGAACGTTTAAGGATGTGGTGATCTCCAATAGGGAAGCCCGGGAAGATGTACAACTACATAATATGTTGTTTTATAGCACAGTTGTAACGTTCTTGCAGATTTTCTGATTCAGCTGCAGTTAAATGTTTCATTGGGTGATCTTTTATAATACTATTGTTGTAAAAACTGATGTTGATTCTAAATAATTGGGGCCACATAGGTATATATGCAGTAAGTCTATTCTTGAATTATGTCTAGGCATAATTTTAGGGTGAGTGACAACTTCTACGATTTTACCTAATGTCTCTAGGCATAATTCTAAGAGTTAATTACACCCTGCATATTTACATAATACAATTGAGGGCAGCGTACACAGAAGGAAAGATATAAAATTAATACAAAACACAGAGAATAAAATTTTCTAAGATTATAATATGGAAGAAATTCGACACTCCTCTCACGTTGGCTTGAAAATGTTTTTCTTTCCTAGCTTGTGTATAATGGACTTAAAGAGGAGACTGGTAAACCTTAAAGAGGATATCTGCAAACTTGAGGAATACAAATCTCTCCACTTCCTAGTTTTGTAATAAACTGTCGGTGAATTTCCTTGTGTTTTGTTCGATCATGATGGATAGGATTGTGTGCTATGTTTATTGCAGATTTATTTTCACATTATAGCTTCATTTCTAACTTTGTTCCTAAACCTGACAAAATGATCTTTATCTAGAGAATTTCACATAGCACTTGTTAATGGATCTAAATTTGGCTTTAATACTTGATTTGGCCACCCTGGATTGTTTCTTGCACCTCAATATCGTAAGATTACCTCCAACAAAATGTGCAATACCCCACCAGTGGACACCTTCGATGAGTGATTGCCACAGCCCAGTTTGTATCAGTATATGCTTCCGCTTCATATTTTACACCTTATCTAATATATAAAATGCCGTTTCCTGCTGCTGATTTCAAATGGTCAAGGATTCAGTAGGCAGCTTCCTAGTGTTTTTCCTTTGGTATGTGCATAAATTGACTGATTACACTAAATGTACGGGTAATATTAGGTCTGGTATGGGGTAAGATAAATTAACATTCCAACAATTCGCAGATACATTTTTTGGTCGGTTATTGGATCTCTAGAAAAATCTCCCAACTCGTGATTAATCTTCATATTAAAATATTCCTTTCTTTCTGTTAAGTCAATGTGTATTTTGTTTAGACAAAATTTATCCCTTCTTAATATATCACCTCTATACCAAGAAAGTATTTCAACAATCTCATGTCTTTGATTTCAAACTCACTAGCCAAATATTATTGTAGCTTGTGAGTTTCTTCTTGGTCATTATAGATTACAATGATGTCATCTCTTGGAACAATGGGTTTGATAGTCAGGTTTTAATGTATGAGAGGCTCAACTAGGGTGTGAGACTCATACATTTAGGCTCATTTGGGAAAAAGCATATGGAATTATTAGCTTCATTTAAGGGCAAAGCAAAAACTCAATTAGTTGAAGTAACTTATTGATCTACATATCTTCGTTTGAATTCTCCCCTCAAAGATAGGTACGTGAGAAATGTGATGATTTTCAACAAAATTGACATCTATAATATAATATTTTTTTTTTAAGGAACACACCAACACAACCTCAGTGGAGGTTTTCAGGACCACCACATAAGGCTGATGGGGGTTTAAATTCCCCAACCGTATATATAAAATCAAACTCATGAAAACAATAGGAAGGGGGACATAAACCTGACCTCCCAAAGGTGAAGAAATGCAACAAATGAAGGAAAGGAATAAGAGGGAAGTACTACTTTCAATACAAGTGATAATAAAGCTAACATCCTCTAATATTGGGAAGTCCATATCCGCCAATCTGCACAAGGGCTCAGATATGCCGTGGTAGGTTAAGTGGACCAAACTCTTGATCTTGACATTCGTCCCAGCCCACAGATGTCAGTGAATCGGCAACCTGGTTTCCCTCACGATAAGAGTGAAAAATAATATCATGGTCGAAAGAGATAAGATGTTTGATCCGTCTGAGAATGATCTGAATTGCCCATGGTCCCCCACCACTAGTGATGCAGTGAACGGCCACAGATGAGTCAGTCTCCACCCAGTTGTCTGATAAACCGAGTCGTCGAGCAAGTGAAATCTCTGTGCTCTCCTGCAGATTGATATACACTCCCTTTAAGATGGAATCATGGTTTAAGAAAACGTAAACAAGTACTGAGGCTTTTTTTGTCACGGGCGAGGCGTAAGCCTCACCACAAACAAAAAAACTTAAGTTGAAA